TGGAACTCCGGCGTCCCACCAGTCCCGCGGTTCCCTCTGGCTCCTGGTATAATGCTGTACTCTCCCGGGTCCGGGTCGGCTCCGATCCCCACTCTCCGTCCTCCCTTCTGGGGATCCCGCCGACCTCCTGTCGCCAACCCTTCAGACTCTCCGCAAGTCAGCTCCACCAAGGTATTCCCCAGGGCCGAGCAGGGATCTCCGTGCTGTAGCACACAATCCGCAGGCGACCCGAGCTCCGTCTCCACGCGCCTCCAACCACTCAGGCTCACCCCAGGCAGCACAGCAGGACCTCCAAATCCCTGGCCCCCCCGGCGACCGATCAGCCGCGGTTCTCTGCGGCCCCGCGATCTTCCGCGGCTCCGCGTTTCGAGCCAGCGCCAGCTCCGCGCCTCAGCGCCGCAGCGGCTTCGCGCTCCAGGGTCCAGCCGGGTTCAGAGTTAGACACCGGTAACCAGAGAGACACCAGGCTATCAGGGGGAGAAGGGGGACAAAGAAAAAAGAAAAAGAAAGAAAGCGAAAAGGGTAGAAAAGGAGAAAGAGGATAGATCCAAGAGGCAGCTGGAGCGGCGGGGAAAAAGGCTAACCGCCCGGCACCCGTGCCATTTTCCTTTCTATCCACTTTAAGCCCACTTTGTTGTTTTGATAATAGTTCAAGTTGTTTGTTACATAGCTGAATTAGAAAAGATTCCTCGTTTTGTGAAACTGGGTTTGCGGAGTTCATCAGTCAATATCCAAGTAAACAAGTAGCCCCATAGAAGTTGAAAGTGCTACACTTGGGGAACACCATGCTGCTTCAAATACTGTAATACAGCAGTACTGTGGTATCCTTGATGGATCGGTTCCAAGCCCCTCCCTCCATGGATGCTGGAAAATGGAGAAGTATTGAATACTATACACCCTGTAAATATATTATCAATGGGAATTTCTGGGTTTTTCTTTAGTATTTCCAGTCTCTTAAGTGAATCAGCGGATACTGATTCTGCGGATAGGAGGTCCATCTGTATGTTACAACTGGAGCATCTTGACATTCACCTGCTTAAAAAACCTGTTCCTCCTAGGATTCTCTGCTTTTAGAAGGGAAGCTGAAGAAGAGGGAGCTGCTGTTTCGGGTTATATGGGGGCTGCTGTGGAGCCCAGAAGGAAAATGGCGGAGCTGGAGTCGGACTGCCCTGAAGCGTTAAGAGACCCTGTTGCCACCCAGACTGGAAGCAGGGAGACGTTATGGGAAGGACTCACAGAGAGGTCCCCGTCTGAAGGCGTCGTCACATCAGAGACCCAGAGGCAGCACTTTAGGCAATTCTGCTACCATGACATCAAGGGACCCCGCGAGGTTTACACCAAACTCTGTAATCTTTGCCGTTGGTGGCTGAAGCCAGAGCGACACACCAAGGCTCAGATCCTGGACCTGGTGATCCTGGAGCAGTTCCTGACCATCCTTCCCCCGGAGATGTCCAGCTGGGTGAGGGAATGTGGAGCGGAGACCAGTTCCCAGGCGGTGGCCCTGGCCGAAGGCTTCCTCCTGAGTCAGGCCGAGGAGAAGAGGCAGGAAGAGGAGAAGGTGAGAGAGCATTTCACCTTGATGGTTTTGAGATGGGTGAGCATATAGACAAGAGTCTCTTATGACTTCCTGTTACTTTTTTTTTTGGCTTATTAAGAAAAAAATAAAATTGTGGAACTTCTTTCTGAGGGAAGCCAGGTTGGATCCTCTTCCCACTTGTCACCTTGGTGATAGGCGAAGGTCTTTCTAGTCAGGCAGGCTGTTGAGCAGTTCTTGAGATAGGCATGTGCCATTCTTGCTGGGCCTCAAATGGATTTGAATCCCATTTTGTTTTAATATTACAGTATTTGTCTAAATGACTAGAATCCCATCGGTACCCTCAGGTAGAGTCGAGAGATTTGTTGAAATCCAGGGGTAAGTGTCAGTTAGAGTAAACTCATTGGAATCAGTGGAGCTTATGGAGGAGTTGACTCCCCCAAATCCCCGCTGAGCCAATGGGCCTATTCTAGTTGTGACTTACTCCAGGATTTTAGCCATTGAACCAGTGCGATGTCCAGGGCTGCTAATTGACTGTTTGACAACAGATTCAGCTGCTCAGTTCCAGTGAGGGATCTTTTTATGGGCTCTCAAAGCACTTCTGATTTGTGGCGATAGGACATGGGATGTTTGTATTTGTATCCCTGGGAATATGAATATCTGCACCACAGATGCCTGGGAAGACCAGATCCTTGGCTGAATTGGCAGGTCCACTTACTGCTCACCGTGCACAACCGACGTTGTTCTCGTTGTGCCAATCCGAGAAGCAGCCTGCCTGGCATTTCCGCGCCTCCCCACACAGCCGACCAGTCAACAACTGAGTGGGGAGATTCGTCATCCTGCCTCCTTGCCGGAGGGGTTGGCTGTATGGGGAGGTAGGAAGGTGGCTGCTAGGCTGCTTCCCTGATTGGTGCAATGAGAACAACACTGTCTGTGCGTGCCGCATGGCGAGCGGTAAGTGGACCTACTGGTTTAAGAGGGGAGAGTCTGGTTTTTCCAGGCATCTGTGATGCCGATATTCATATTCGCATCCCTGGGGATAAGATAGTGGCGATTCTGTCAACAATTCCCCACTGAGATTGGGTTCTGCATAGAAAAATTAAGAGCTTTCTTGCATCTGGATCTATCTATAATATTTATGGATATGTTTTATAAAAACACTCCATTCTGTATTGTCTCACCTCCGTTGCGTCTCCTGCAGGCGATGGAACAAAACCGGGGATCCCTTCTCAGTTGTCTTCTCTGTTTGGTGGAGCGAGAGCTGCTGCTGTCCTTCCTGATGAGGTAGGGGATCCTTGGCGAGGTGAGGAAAGAACAGTGAAACAAGTAACCGTATTTTTCTAAAACCCTTTATAAACATAGTCAGGGCAACGTTGTGTATAGATTTATATATAAACATAGCGCAAGGTAAAGGTAAAGGTTCCCCTTGACCCCTGGGGATAAGATAGTGGCGATCCTGTCAACAATTCCCCACTGAGATTGGGTTCTGCATAGAAAAATTAAGAGCTTTCTTGCATCTGGATCTATCTATAATATTTATGGATATGTTTTATAAAAACACTCCATTCTGTATTGTCTCACCTCCGTTGCGTCTCCTGCAGGCGATGGAACAAAACCGGGGATCCCTTCTCAGTTGTCTTCTCTGTTTGGTGGAGCGAGAGCTGCTGCTGTCCTTCCTGATGAGGTAGGGGATCCTTGGCGAGGTGAGGAAAGAACAGTGAAACAAGGAACCGTATTTTTCTAAAACCCTTTAAAAACATAGTCAGGGCAATGTTGTATATAGATTTATATGTAAACATAGAGCAAAGTTGTATATAGATTTATATACAACGTGTCGTAATAGTGCTTATTTGTCCAGATCTTTTAAAACACAGGAAAATAAGGTCTTTCTGGTAAAAGGGTAGCGGGGAGGGGCCCAGATAGCGCAAAGTTCTATATAGATTTATATACAACGTGCCGTAATAGTGCTTATTTGTCCAGATCTTTTAAAACACAGGAAAATAAGGTCTTTCTGGTAAAAGGGTAGCGGGGGGGGCCAGCGTGGACTTCCTGAGGAGTCTGGGAGCAGCCACGGAAAAGGCCCTCTTCTCAGCTGTGCCTGTAGAGGCTGTGTTATAAAGCGAAGGACTTCTCCAGAATATAGGGAAAGCTGGAGAGGCTCGCTTGGGAATGACACAGTGTGAAGAGGTTCCCTCCCTCCCTCAGGCGACCCCTCATTTTCGGTGGGAAACAATAAAGGCCTAGTCTTTATAACTTTCAAACTGTCAACTTTATTCTCCCCAACATCCACCAAGCGCTTCACTTGAAGGTATTAACGGTTCCAACTTTGGCAACAGGCCACTATTATCAGCAACATAACATTTATCATAGTCCCATGGACTTAACGGTGTTGTCCTCCACGCCATCTCTGGCCCTCCGGTCGTGGGGGTGGGGCACTCCTGATCGCACAGATCGTCCCACAACATGAGTGCCTTACCCACCCCTTTTCATCTGGACCCTCAGGAAATGGGTCTCTCCGCACTCACGCCACAGCTCAGCTTCCCTAGGCGCCACTATAACAGTCCACTCATGGGAGACCACTCTCCTAGGTCTCTCCGCCTCAGGTTCTGGATTGGGTAGGAGTCCTCCTACCTTCAGGTTGGGAAAGTCCTTTAAGAGTCCTTGCGTGCGTACCCTTTCAAACGCTTTTCTCCTTTCTTCCCGCTTCTTTCTCTCGTATTCCTCTACCACCGTACTGAATCACACCACCCCTTCCTCGCTTTTATCCTCTTCCCATACTGACACCTCCTGCTCTGCCCACTCTCCCTCCACCAAACAAATCTCTGTCTTCCCCGCCTTCTCCTCAACCTTCAAATCTCCCGCTTTCTCCTCAACAGATCCTGTCATCTCACGTTGTTCCCCCTTTTTTCATCTGTTCCTCAGGCTTGGCAGCTAAGGACGGCACACTCTTCGCCTCTGCTCCTTCACACACAGCCCTTCAGATAGCGTTTGAGGGCTTAATGGACCCTGCTGCCGCTTGGAATTGGCCCAGTAGTGGAACGGAGCCAATGAAGCTCTCGTAATAGTTGAGAGAGAGAGGCTTCCAGAGTGACCATTCCTGGCCAGTGTTCTGGCTGCAGTGTTTTGAACCACCTGAAGTTTCTGAACACTCTTCAAGGGCAGCCCCACATAGAGCACATTACAGTAGTCAAAGTGGGATTTGATTCTTATTTTATTTTATTTATTTTATTTTATTTATACCCCGCCTATCTGGACCGATGGACCACTCTAGGTGGCTTCCAATATAAATTTAAACAATAATTGAGATTCGATTCTTACTAAACTACAGCTCCCAGCACTCTTCACCATGGGCTTGTCCTGCCTCGAGTTGGTGTCCTGAGGCTTTTTGCCAAATCTTTTCTAGTAAGGAGGAGAGATAGAAGGCAATGCCTGCCTTGGCCATGTAAGGTCACCATTCATTGTATTGGATCCTGCCCTTCTTTTTATTTATTTGGTTTTCCTTAGCTTAAAATGCAGAACCCATGTTCTCCTCCTCCCTCCTCCAGGCTCCAGTGTCGTTTGAGGATTTGGCGATCTATTTCACCGACGAGGAGTGGGCCCTGCTGAATACGGACCAGAAGGCTTTGCACGTGGAGATCATGGAGGAGAACTGCGCCAATCTGGCCTCTCTTGGTAAGGCTCACTTTTTTTCGGGGGGTCTCAGATTTGGAGAGAGGCTCGAGGTGCCATCTTGCCTGAACCCTCCCTGAAGGCAAAAACGATGAACTGGAGGCCTGTCCTACTTTGGACACATCAGGAGGAAAGACCATAAGGCTGGGAAAGTTCGAAGGCAGCAGGAAAAGAGGAAGAACACATATGAGACGGACGGACTCCCTAAAGAAAACCCCAGCCTTGAGTTTATGAGAGTTGAGTAAGGCTGTTGAGGAAAGGACATTTTGGAGATCACTCATTCATGGGGTCACCATGAGTTGGAGATTATTTGACGGCACACAGAACATCAAGGGTGGACACGACCCGGAACAGCTTCTCTGTGGGATACCAATAACAGAAAAAATTAACCGATATATAGTATATTCAGGCCGGAGCTGCTCCTGGGACCGCACCGGACCATCGTGCCTACGCCCAGAAGGAGCCAAAGACCATCTGCCGGCCATAGCTCATTGTGTGAGAGGCAGTGAGTCTGTGGCTGGGCCCCTGCTGGATCTCCTTCTATGGTTACAGGCCTTGCGGCCTGCTGCTCCTGGCTGCCTCACCCTCTCTCAACATCAACCACCTGGCCTAGGGGGAGAGAGAGCTTTCAGGCCAGAGCTGCTCCTGGGACCGCACCAGACCATCGTGCCTACACCCAGAAGGAGCCAAAGACCATCTGCCGGCCATAGCTATATAATACTATATAATTATGTCTGTGG